TCCAGCTTAATATGCCATGTGGAATATAGATGTGTTCGTAAGTTCATAAATTACCTCCACCTTATTTCATTCACTACCAAAGGGGCGAGTTACATTTTTGCCGAATTTGTTGAGGACGAAGAACTCGATATTTCTCTGGATAATTCACAATTCCAAAATTTTCATTATTACCTTATTAAGTTATTTCCTTTAAAAAGTGACCTTTTAAAAACCTTAAGGCTTGAATAAAGGATTACTATTGACATAAAATTCTCAAACTTGCTAATCATAAGTGTATATATTATAACACAATATATCCATTAAACTAAGTAATTATTGAAAAATGCTTCTAAGCATGTTTCAAAATGCCTTAGTTTAATAAATTATTACTTAGTTTTATAAATTGATTGGATTATAGAGAGATTCTGTCATATAGTTATGGTATCAGTTAAGTCCACTGATGAACAAAAACGAAGAGGTAGTATAACTTTGGGAGATTTGATGACCCACACAATAACTATTTAATTTTCAGCTTTATCTCCTAAAATAAAATTTAAAAAAAGAACTTGGAATTAAGTCTTTGTTCGATTTTGAAAAAGGGAGCATGGAATTCTTTAAAAAAATATTTGGTTTTTAAAATCAATAATTTTCATATACAAAATCAGTGATCTTTATTGCGATAGATACGAATAATTCCGAAAAACTGTGACACCAAAATGTGCCAATTGATTAGCGCCATTCAGGTTGAAACATGTCAGGTGATGAACACCTAAAGTTGGTCGTTGAGCTAAAAGTACATGTATAGATATTTTATTTACAAAATTAAAGTGATGCTACGTCTTAAAACATAACATTTAATTCTCAAGAATGGTGAATATGGGTATATGATCAGTAGATATACCTGGTGTCATAAAGTTACAACAGAATCCCTGTAAAATCTAGAAAATTGGAAAATTCATAATACTGAGTAATTATTGAAAAACGCTTAATCATTAATATTAAGCGTTTTTCAATAGTTAATTGCATTGCAAGTTTTTTGGATTTATCGGATTATACAAGGATCCTGTTATGTTATTTATGACACCAGGTATATCTACTGATGAATATATGCTCTTATTGGCCAAGTTTAAAATTTGTAAATTTTATGTTCATTCTAAGACATGGTAGCCTATTCCTTTAAATATTTTTTGTCTTTTCAGCCAAGTCAGAACATATCTGTTCTGAATATAAACCATGTTTACATAAAGGTATATGTCGAGTTGTTGATGGTGATTATCACTGTAAATGTAAAGGTGGTTTTTACGGTAAAAGCTGTGAAGTTCTGATTATATAAAGTGGCATCATTAAACTCAGTTTGCTTTTATTCAGTTGAATTTTTGTTTGAAGAGATTCGATAGGATTTGTATGTAGTTGGACACTTTTCGCGAAAGTTACTATAAACGTTGCAGTGCTTCAATTCAGACAAGTAATATATCCAGAGAGGCAATGATTTATGTTGTTTAGTTGCAGTAGAGGAATTGGTTGGTTGCCCCCTGTGTCACGGGCTTGCTTTGATAAATGCTCTTTTACGCACATGAAAAGCTCAGGAATTCTTCACGGAAGAAAAATGTTTCACAACGTTAGACAACAAGATACTTCTCTGTTATTTGTATTAACTCACACTTCTGTTTAAAAGAATCTGGAAACGTTTCAGGCATAATCTGAATAGTGATCAGTGACTTCCGTAAGCACGCTTGCTCGTGTCGAAAACGACGAATGGGCAAGACGCCTTTTGATCCGCAACGGAAGATTTTTTTTTTTTTTTTTTTTACAGTAAAGATATTGTTGTAGTCTGATTATTTATTAAAGTTAATTACCTTCCTTTGACCATCCTTCAAATAGTGCATTTCCTGCAATCCCTGAGCATTGCGAGTTTTGAAAAGATTTAGATCCACCTTGTTAGCTTTTTGTTTACGTGTATGGATTTTTAAATACGTATTTGTTATCGCATGGCATCATTTCATATAAATTCATCCTAATATTTTCATAGTCAGATTCCATTCATTATATTGATCTTTAAGCATTTTTGTTGGGATACACGTAGCTATACATGTAAGAATGTATAAGACCAGATGCCACGCAATCAAAGAGTGAATTTGGAGTGAAAACTCTGGATGATGTTTTCGAATTAAAAAGAGCAATTCAATTCAATATTGCACCAATTTAATATGCAAAAAGATTTGAGACATTTTACAAACAGAGACATAAATATTTACGATATTATTTTAACATAATTTAGAAATTGAGAGCATAGAGTTCATTTACACATATTATTTACATTATTTTGAACATTGCCATGCTGCCACCTAAAAGGACCTAGCCACCTTAGAGGACAAATGCTTGATTTTGTCAACAAGAGCTCGTGATCTACTTTTGGCCGCCCCAAGCTATCGGAATCTGTTGGCAAACCGTTTATTTGTCCATATCTCTAATGCATCAAAGTGAGACGGCATCCAAGAGATATTGTGAATCATATGTCGACCTGAACCTCCTTATATAGTCATGTGTCCTCGGCAGCTAGTCATCACATAATATCATGGATCTGATATTTGATGCTTCCTTATAACGGTATCGGACTGTTCAATAATGTTGCCTTTTATTTGTTTTTTCGGCAAGTTTTTTCGGCAACACAAACCATGGTGAGTTGAATATTTTGCCTTATAAAAACTTGACCACATGAGCGACTGATTTTTTTATATGCCACTAAAAAGTAACCAAAGTCAGTAAAATAGATATATTAGAATGTAAATATAAATATAACTAACAGTGTTCAAAGAAAAAAACTAAAAAAATCTGCGAACTGTTATCGGAATGTATACATAAGAATCAGTGTTGTAGCAAATATGAACGTCTTTCAACTACTGTACACCACCATTTCAACTGTGTTCCTCACAATAACTTTGGACGAACCTCTCCTGTAACTCCAGCGCAATATTGTAGGATAATTTCTGGCATACAAAGTGTTTATTGTTCACGTATGCAGGTTTTAATCTTCACACACATGATTTGCAAGACGGAATGTCGTTCACTGAGACTCTTTGTCCAGAAGTTGCCAAGCCATACTTGTTTTAATGCTGTATTATTTGGAATTTCCTACAAATGTTCACGAAGTTTTTTCTCAGAAACTGACTTGATTCTATGAATTTCACACACACTTGAATTTCGGTCCTGTCTTCTTTTTTTATAATGTTTTACATTTCATCGACTTCACTCCGCGATCGCAAGCATTTGATTAAAAACTTTCACTTCTGGATTTCCATTATAAAATTGTTTATTGTTCTTGAGACATTATCACTCCATAAATAAATAATAAATAGTTGTCACAACAATTTATTCAAAATAAGAATTATGCATGGAATATAGCTTGTCTATAGGATTAATTAAATTAGAGGTGAGAGTATTATGGTTCACAGAGTCCGCCATTAACATATGATCTAAGGAGTCACTTTCATCCATAGGAGTATCCGGATACATGGAATCGTGAATAGATTGGCCGTTATATAGAGATCCTTGGTTATCATATTGGTGAATAGAATTGTAATGCTGACCGTCGGACATTGGTGGTAAACCTGTAAAAATAAAACGACAAGATAAATTATTTTTTTTTACATATTTTGTACCATAAAAAGTTGAACAAGTTTAAATTAAAAAATTTAGCAATTGATTATTTTTTTTGGGCTACATCAACCTGGATTATTTTATGAAGAAATTATTTATATTTATTTTACAATTTATAATAGAATACAACAGCCAATCAAACAATTTCTTATTTTTGTGGTATATAAAGAAAATTCAAGAGAAATATAAAAGTTTCAAAAAGGTGAATGTTTGCTTTCTGATTTTTATTGAATAATTATGCCGATTTCATACAATTATCTTTAATAATTAGGTATAAAATGAATGGAATATTCTGAAATTTTTGTTATTTGAAATGAATTCCAAAAATTACTTTTTTGTTGCATTCTCTTTCTCTGATTGTGCGACGGCGAAGGTGAATCAAAATCAAGCGAGTTGATCACAATTTTGATAAATTTAGATTTATGATAATCACACAGTAGAAATTATTTTCTCTATTGAACAATATTGCATAAATTTCACGCTTTTTAAACAGGCATATTTAAACAATATAAATATTTTACATGACTGATTCTTAAATTGCGGCTTTTAATATTTTTATGTATTATGAGGAATATAGTAATAATAATAGAAAATATTTTTTGTTCATCAATTCAAAAATCATAGAAGCACAACCAATGCGTGGTAAATTTTGATCATTTGATTAGAAAAAATATTATTATTATGAGAAAAATGTCAAATTATAATATAAATTGTTATGGTCGCGTGTATCATATATCATATTATATTCATCAAATTTATTCATATCATACGTAAAAAAATTCTTATTAGAAAAAAATGCATTTTGAAAATGACGATTATTGAATTTTCTTCTGTATAAAATTACATAAACATCAGTTTAATCATGTTATTTTTTAAAGTTTTCGTTTTATGAAGAAAAAAATGCAAATTATTCCAACCATTTTTTCTTTTCCTAAAAGTCAAATTTGTATCTTGAAAATGCAACTTAGTATTTCGAAAATGCAAAGTCGAATTTTTGAGTTACCAAGTCGAATGTTTAGTTACCAAGTCGAATTCTTCAGTTACAAAGTCGAATGTTTAGTTACCAAGTCGGATTTTTGAGTTACAAAGTCGAATGTTTAGTTACTAAGTCGAATTTTTGAGTTACCAAGTCGAATGTTTAGTTACCAAGTCGAATTTTCAGGAAACAAATGAATAAGAAAAATGATGCCCCCCTGGCTCTTTTGTAAATGAGATTGTATTTTATTAAGTTAAATAAAGTTAGTGTCGTAATATAAATGAAACTTACTTGAAATGCCTTCATCACTGTCATTATTACCTCCACAGTCTGAAGAGTCGCTTTCATCATCTGACTTCCGTTTCGATGACTTTTTCGATTTTTTACCCTCACCATTATTATTATTAGTTTCTACATTTTGTTTACGAGCTATTTTCTTCACCTGAAATAACCATAGTTCAAACATGAATTTCACATAAATAAGAAACGGAACTTCAATCTGAAGTTTTTATGATTAAAATTCTGGATAATGCAAAACAAAGAGTGTCATACATATTAGATAAGATATAGAAAAGTGACTTTACAGCTCGGACTTATATTATAATTGTGTACTCACCTTTGCTCGCTGATTCTGGAACCAAACTTGGACAACTCTGACACTGAGACCCGTTTCAGCTGCAAGTGCTTCTCGAACCTAATAAAAATACAAATTTGCATTTTAACTGATATGATGAGAAACATTTTGCTAAATATAGATGAAATATTTATCAGGTTGTTCTCTCAGAAATGGATGCCAGTCGACGAATGAAAAAATGTGTTTCAGAAGTAGTAGCATGCCCTGTTTCTCTACCCTCTTTGTACTTATTTCTATATTTAAAAATCAGAATCATATCTGGCACGGACAAAAAATCAAATTAAAATTGGTAAAATTATATTTTTGAGATTTTTTTTTACCTTTCGGCACGGTTTAGGATTTAGTTCAAATGCTGCTTTAAATTTTCGTCTTTGACTTGTATTTAAAATAGTGCGAGGTCTTTTTGGTCCTTTAGAATCACGGCTGTCTCGATCATCAAAACAAAAATCACTACAATCACCTGGAAAATAGAAAACAATGTTACATTGATATTAAATGTTACTTTCGCATTAAATGTTACATTGATATCAAATGTTAAATGTTACATTGATATTAAATGCTACTTTCGCTTTAAATGTTACATTGATATCAAATGTTACTTTCGCTTTAAATGTTACATTGATATTAAATGTTACATTGATATTAAATGTTACACTGATATTAAATGTTTCAATACATTTTTTAATGATACAATAAAAGATGGTCATTTTATTCAAAAATATTTTATTTCATATCGAAACCGAAATCAAAATGTTGCAAAAGTTAGATTTGGGAATGAATCTTTTTTGTTTTTTGTCTGCAGGGAGATCATTGTTTTTTTTTCATATATATTATTCAAATTTCCAAAAGTATTTGATCGGGAGACAGCTCATGAAGAAGTAGTAGTTTTAAATGTCTCTAATGAAAATATACAAAAACTATATACAAAGGATACATAATGTAAGAAAAACATACTTTTCGGGCTCATTGGCATAATGCTGAATTCTTTTTCAAAATCTAATCTACAGAACAATTGGCCTTCTTTCACCACAAATTCATCTCCTTTCTGAAGTTGATGACCACAAGCCATACACATAAAGCATCGTAAATGATAAACATAACCAGCGGCTCTCATAACCAATTCATTTGCCGGGATAGACTGTAAACATCCGTTACATTTTGTACCAAATAATCTAAAATTATACAAAATATTGAATTAAAGAATCGGCACATATACATGTATACAAGTATATTATTTGTTGATGACAATGGAATAACAGAGCACATTATTTAATGAATGCGCCTATAATGGGGCAATATTTTTCATAATCAAGCACTTTTTCATGTACCCAAATTATTAAACTGTATGTGATAACGAAAATATTTTTTTTATTTTATATAGATTTTTGGTTTAAAATTAGATATAAGTTATATTTGTGTAAGGTACCGAATTGGATACTGGACAAAATAGAGCACCGTCTTTGTGGTTTCAGTATTTTTTTTGTTAATAATGAAATGATATATTAATTTATTCTTTACATATCATATTTGTATCAAATTGATACATTTCTATTTAACCAATTTATACTGATAAATATGTGCACATTAATGTTATATTTGTTTCGATATTTCTGAAGAAATAAGCAAAATAGTACATTTCATGAAATATAAAGCATTTCTTTTGTCACACATTTGAAGACATTATTTTAAGCAATTTTAAGCTTATTAATTCTTAAAAATCGCCCCAAATCAATATTTTCTTTGAATTTCTTCGAGCTTCTCGTCTTAAAACTGCTTTTTATCGCAAGACATTTTTTTAGTCCTGTCCTAACTGTCCTGATACCTTTTGTATTGACTAAATGTACTACAGTCAACCTGTGGTAGGTGATAGAACAAAACTTACAGGCTTAGCTAATGATCAATAAAAGAGACACATTGAATACGACTCAGTGAAAGTGGAGTATATCTAGAAACGATACATATTCAACATAAGGGTGTATAAATTTGAATATATTTTCAAAATCTTTTGTCCAACCGTCTATAAATTGTACGAAAAAAATCAGGAGAACTATTCGAATACTAGTTCGAATCGATATCCATGTACTGTGTGCCCACTTGAAGTTGTCACGTTATTCACAATTTGACACTCGTACTTTGAATTGACATAGATTTATGGTTAAACAAAGATTTGTACTCAGTGTTAAAAATCGAAGCATTGTTAGGTGATATTGTGTTAAAAATGTCATTAAGAACTTAAAGAAATGTGAATACCATTAAGAAAGGTGAATAAGTTGAGTTTATTTTGTTAAATTGTGTTTGTTTTATGTGTTTATTATTAGCTCTTTATATTGTTTTCGTGTTTTATGTTATTTTTACACTTATAAACTTGAATTGTGTTCAATAATTATGCTTTTCTAAAAATAAGCATGTCTTGCATGTGTTTATAATCTTATGTTGTGTTTTATGTTATTTATACAATAAAATTAAACATTATTTCTTTTTTTTATATGAAGTTATGCCTTTAAATATGCCCTTTGTATATAAATAACATGTGTTTCTTTCTGGTCCTCAATATAATTATGGTATATTATTATGTTATTTATTTTAGAAAATTCTAAAATAATTTTCTACATAAGATGTTTTTATAAATCATAATAGTTTAAATTTCCTGTTATTTTTTGTTATTTCACATGTAAAAGAATTGGATTAATAGCATATTTTTTAAAAAATAATTTTTACTGTTGCTGTATTTTTCAATGTATTTAAAGAAATTGTACTGCATGTAGATTTATAACGTTTGATTTAGTCAATAAATTTTTAAAAAGTAATTTTCAGAGAATTTTTCAATGTTCTAAATTTTAAATACAGTCTATCTTTAGTTAAAATTGTCTTATTTAGTTTTAATTTGTGCAAAATGCAACACTTTGATAAAGCAATGTCCTTAAAAATGTCTAATGAGTTTTTATAAACCATTTTCTTCTCTTCGACGTAATTTTTTTTATCAAAGTTTTCTTGGCGTCTTTTTGGGTGAGATTCAACATAGCGATTAACACCGGATTACTGTATGTAACCTCCAAATCGTTACATAGCTAAGAAGCATTTATGTAACCAACATATCTCTTTGTGTATATGACAAAATAGAAGTGAATTTATCAAAATCAAAGATATGATGAATTGCGTGGATTAAGCTAAATAAATAAACTAAGTAACATTTTTAAGGTATTCTTTTGTGTATTAGAAAGCAAGAAATATTTTGATATGCATATCAACGATGTCAAGTCGGAGCTCTTAATCCCGTTGATAGTGAATTGGTATTTTAAAAAATCCACTTAATTCTGTCAATCTTTACTTCTTCTGTTGATATGATATGGGGATATCGTTATGACACACTCACTGTTGAATCCAGAAATTTAAAAATGGGACATTGTTCATTAATTTGACGACGATTTCCATAATAACAGCCCATTTTAACAGATTTGCATCCATGTCATATAAACCTGCCAATGACTCTCCATGGCCAGTTGTCTCGAAATATATATTTTTGCATTTTTTTCATAAAACGACAGAAGAAGCAATCAGTTGTCCCGGAACAAAAAAATGATTTCTACGTTTGATAATTCAATGACGGAGCAAGATGGAAGGGTGATTTAGAATGAGCCCATTTTTCAGAAGCGCTGGCGTAGTTCACAATTCGAGACCCTTAATTCTGCACAAAATGTTAATACTATTATCCAAGACAGATAACAAAACCATGCAAGAGACGTTTCGACTGCATGTTTCGTCTTGTGGTAACACTTCCTAACGTATATTCAGGTCGAGTTTTCCTTACAGCGGATGACAGTTATTAAAACCGCCAGTCTTACAGTTGACTTCATCATGTAAAGCTTGACTAATTATTCTCAGATTGTATGCCAGTTTGTTTTCACTTCATCTCTGATATTTGGCCGTTTTTTCATCAGGAGATGTTCGTTTCTGTTGGTATTAGTTCGGTTGGTGGATCTAACATGGCGACAATATTGACAGAAACTCACGAGAACTGGTCAACCATTATGTTCTGGCTTTATTAAAAACCACGAGTGTTGTTCTTCATCTTTTAATAATCTCCATGCAACCTTGGAGTTTGAAGTGAGTGAAGTGAGTTACCAAGGAAGAACTGAAGAAACTCTATTTTACGACGACGTCATTTTTCGTTGATGCCAGGAATGCCAAGTTCCAGGAATAGACATTTGATTCTTTCGTCATAGAAAACAAATCTTAAAGATTTAAATATAAAAAAAAAAATCAAACTTTGAAAACATATTGTATTCTATCCAACAAGCAGTCACCGATGAAAATATCTAGTTTGAACCATTCTAGGAACGATAGTAGAATGTAGAATTATATTATATTTCCAAATTAAATGGCATTTTTCTTATGACCCAAGACATCGTAAAGCCAGCATGTTTCCATGTCATCTCTGAATATTTCAATGTTTCAAATCCTGGAACAGTTAGGTGTTATTGCCAATAGTAGTTAAACATTGACCTTATTTAATCGACTTTAGTTACCTATCCGAGCAAAAAGATAACCATTTATAATCGTATTTCTTAAAATTAAAATGGAATTATAACGCATACATCAGTTAAGATTGTTCTAGCACTACAACACTAATAATTCTAATTTATAGATAGATAATGAGTTTTCAACAATGTCTCCTTATGAGGTTCTCTTACAAAAAAAAACAAACTTGACTGGAATTGTAGATAAGTTGCAAAGGATTGCTCAGTTTCAATTAAATAACTTGTTTTCTTTAAATTAAACGCTACACATTCCAAAAAGGATGGTCTGATTAAAATAAGATCACATGCAAATCATTGTTTCGTTTTCTTTGAACAAATTTGTCCGAGATTTGTACGGTGCAGTTATTTAATTTCAGTTTATTGAGCTTTTTAATGTTTTCTGAAATGACTTTCAAACTAGACTCGTAAGGTATTTAAAATCATAAAGTAAAAGTTAAACAATACATTAAGATGAATTAAGAGTTCAGGAGAAGTCTTCGCTCGCACTGTGTCAAAATTTCACATCCATAAATTTAGTAAACCACACAAGAGTGAAAAACTTCAAACAAAAAGTGAAGAGTTTGGTTTTGAAGTCAATGTTGACAAAACAATAACCTTTTAAACCCAATGTTGTGAGCGTCATAAACTTAATCCATTAATTCTTCAACATACAAGAGCAAACGTAGTTACGCAGCAAATTTCAAGATGGCCGCCATTAAATCACCCCTTTAACTAACCATTAAGGTTATGTATGTCCGACAAGGCATATCGTAACCTTACTATCAGTTTGTTTAAGACACATATATTTTTGTATTGGAGATAACGCGGCGGCACATCATAAAAGATCAAAAGAATATAAGTAGTCTTATTCACAGCCAGGTGGAATTTATGAGATTAGAATATCCCGGATATGCATTTTATATGAATATAATGACTTCCTTTTAAGTCAAGTCCAGACTGAAGCTTCGAAAGCGTTTTCTGAAAGCATATATAATACTTTGATAAACACTTTGCGTATGAGGCCCACCAAGGAAACTCTAGATTGGCCTACCAAGGGCATAATTTTTAAGTTAAAAACTATTATATGTCTCAACGTCTATAAACTATTTGTCTAAAAAATCATAGACTGTATTATGTCTAAAACATCATGAACTATATTTTGTCTAAAAATAATAAACTATATCATATCTTAAAATTTTAAATTATATTATTTTTTGTCTCAAAGTCTATAAACTATATTACGTCTCAAAATATATGAACTATGTCGTGTCTCAACATCTAAGAACTATATTATGTCTCAAAATTTAAAAAACTATATTATGTCTATCTTTTCATTCATTCTTTAGATCATTTTGAGTGAATATCCCTTACAGAAACAAAACATAAAAATCTCTTTTAGAATTTGACACGGCTTAAGATAATGCTCTTCTAAAAAACAAAGCTCAATAGCGCATTCGATCCCTTATAATGGTTATCGAACAATTCCTAATCATTTACACAATATATTATTTGTTCTCAAAATATAATCTGAACTAACTTGACTCATGTTAGAGAAAAGCCGTTCATAAGAGCGCCTTGTACCAAGGAAAAGACAACCCCATACATGATTGACTTAACACAACAGTTCGATTAGCCATTTACCAACGTTCCCACAC